AAAAAAAAAATAGTCTCATTTAGTTTCTATGTGTACCTACTTTTTGCGTATGTTTGGTTGGCATTCGATCACGGCTTTTTATCTCTCCCGTCGAATGTTGATTTATCAAGTGTAATCTAAAAAGTGATGATGCCATTAACATTATTATGGGAAAGAAACATTTTTTAAGTTATATTAGTGGGTTTTTTAAACATAAATAATTTCAAAATAGAATTTTTAACGAACAATTTATTTGATCACTTTATCATACATTTTAGATCGATGTAACATTCAAATATTAATAATTTTAATAACGAAACAATGCGTTATTGCTATTATGTATTTGCTTGAATGAATATAGCATCTAATTTTACCTTTTTGTGTTGAATAACGCTTGAATTTATTGAATCATGAATCATTTTATAATCAGATATATTTGAATAATTCTTTACATTCTATAAAAATATAAATTTTCTTCAGTATTGACGGTGATTTGGCAGAAACATTAATCCGTCTAGACGTTTCAGAAAACCAACTTAATCCAGAAGACATATACCGCTTGTCTATGTCAAAACTAGAACAACTTTATATGTTGGCCAATAATCTGACGGTTATCCCCGAGAGAATTACAAATTGTCATTGCTTCTTGTCGCTTAAACTTCTAGACTTGAGCGACAATTACCTGTCATGTCCCAGGACGTTCTATATGTTGTCGACTCTGCACAATTTGCAAGTATTGATCATGAGCAATAATCAAATATCGTATATACCCTATTTGATAATGAAACAGGTGCGATATTAACATATTATTATAATACATATTTATGTGTACCTATCTACTTATCACATTAAACCTAACAAAATGTCTTTAAATCATATTTTGTATTACCTAATTGTATACTCAACACCAGAAAATATGGATTAGTATGCTATACAAATAATCTATAGACAAGCTAAAAAATGCAAAATAAAAGTTTCATCATATTTTAAAGCATCTGTTACATGACTTGAATTATGTACTTTTGGAATACACTGTCCTCCCCCTTCCACAAAAAAATGCACTTTGTATTGATATTCGGTCACTAGTCATATAATATACATTTTATATGGTAAATATTTGTGATTGGATTTGGAACTCAAGGACTTTGTGTTTTGCGTTTTTAAAGGAAGCTGATTATTCAAATGGTGACAATCAAACAGAAGCTTCTCAGGATCAAAAGATCATAGAAAAGTACAAGAGTAATGATGTAAAAGGTAAAAAAAAACATTTATTTGTACATTTTTCTTTTTTCAATTTATTTAATCTTCAATACATTTTATTGTGATAATCATATCAACATTTTTCAGAGGTCGTTTATCGGGTACTTCATATTCCATTTGTCAGTCTAAAAACAATAAATTTGTCGAACAATTTGATAGCTCACAATTCTTCGGTGCTGCCGTTAATTGGTTGGCCATCATTGGAGAATGTTATATTAACGGCAAATACCATTAGTTTGAATAAAAATTTGATAGAATTCAAAAATTTGTCATCAACCTTAAGTATGTTTAATATTAATGCCAAACGATAGTGAAAAGTTTTTAAAAAAAAAATAAAGCTACTTTAATTTTAGAAATTGTTGCCAATTTCTTCTTAGTTTGAGCCATTATCAATAATTTTATTGATTATTAAATGAGTTAAAAATTATAAAATATCACTTTTACATCATTATATTTTAGATTTTGTGTAGATCTTTACAATGATGTGTGTTTTTTATTGTGCTTTTGGCACGATAAGTAGTCGAAGTAATGCTTCAATTTTCAATTTCATCGCAGTATATCTTTTTTTGGC